AGGTACCCCTCCCTCTGTCTCCGAAAGCTTGCTTTCTTGGACAGTGATCTCTCCCCCCTCTCTCCTGGAGGTTGCACATGATAATTAATTATATCCCACCTTTGAGACCTGGAGGAGGAGATAGGGACGCACTCCAGTATTCTTGCCTGGAGAATCCCATGGACCGAGGAGCCTGGGGGGCTATACAGTCCATAGAGTCGCAAAGAATCAAACATGACTGAAGTGACTTAGGACGCACTCACGCACCTTTGAGACACTTTCCATTGTTATCTTAAGTTGTCACTTGGGTCTGTGTAAATGGACACTTCTCACATTTTCATTGTTTCCTAGCAAAGAGTTTGCTGAGCACTTGTTGGCGGTGAGTCAGAAGCCTTGGCTTTGAACCCTGGCCCCAGCCACTCACCCCTCTGAGCCTTCACCTGTAGCATCTATACAGTTGGGTGAAAGAGCTAGGGCTGTCTAGAGGATGGATGAGAACAAGGTGTGAAACCACCTTGAAAACAGTAAGTTGCTTTGTAGACACCAGGCCTTTTATGATTCTGGAGCACAGGGACCGTTTCTTGTGTGGCCGGCGTCTCTCAGGATGCATGGGGCTCCAACACCGTGCTTGGAAGTACTGCCGGCTCTCTGCTACCTTTGTGCAGGGCTGTGTTCCTGCCTTCCTCTGGGACTGGGAGCCACCTCTGCTCCCTGGCTTCCAAATGCCCAGGAGGTACCAGCCCTGCAGAGAAGGTGAGGGAAATGACGGTAGCCATCCCTCACAGGGCCGGGTAGCGGGCTAGGCACCTTACATATTGTTATTCAGTTGCTCAGTCGTGTCTGACTCTGCGACCCCATGGATTTGCAGCATGCCAGGCTTCCCTGTCCTTCACCATCTCCTGGAGTTTGCTCGAGTTCATGTCCATTGAGTCGGTGATGCCATCCAACCATCTCATCCTCTGTCCTTCCCTTCTCCTCCTGCCTTCAATCTCATAGAGTGCCTTTATCTTTCACAGCAGCCCTGAGAGGTAGGTACTGCTATTATCCCCATCTGATGCCGGAAGCCCTTGAGTGCAGAGGCAGAGAGGGCAGCCTGAGATCACATGGCTAGTAAGTGGCTGTGTCCGGGGTTGGGTCCAGTGGGCGGGTCTGGAGCGCTTGCTGCTAACCATGTGGGTCCCCTAGGCTGCCCTGAGGCTGGAGGACTGCACCAGAGGCCAAATGACCCACGTGCCTCCGCCAGCCTCAGCTGAAGGGACCCTCAGGACCCTTCTCCTGCCCAGGAACCTCGCTGTGCTCCTGTGCTCGGCCCCTTGCCTCTCCAGGAATTCTTCCACTGCTCTCGCTTCCTTCTGCACCCTCAGCCTAAAACGGGAGAGCCACCACCAGGACGTTCTCATTCATTCCTGAAAGAACTCTGCATTGTCAGGATGGAAGGGACCTCTGGTTCAGGTTTGTTAAGAGGAAAGAGAGACCGAAGCTGGCACAGTATCGATGTCCAAACCAGATAATAGCAGCACAGAAAAGAATTATGTTCATATGACTTATGAGCATGAAGGCAAAAATTCTAAACAACACATCAGCAAACTGGATCTCGCCATGTATAACAAACATAATACATCATGCCCAAGCAGAGTTCATCCCAGGAATGCAAACATGATTTAACCCTAGAAAACAGAGGCTCAGAGGGCAGCTGCGGAGACTGAGCCAGCCCAGGGCCCAGCCCAAAGTGCTTTTGGGGACCTGGTTACCTTTGTGCTGTATCCTGCTCCTGGGAGGTGCTGGTGACAGTCTTTCCTTTGTTGTCACTGCCTCTCACCACTTTATGTAGCCTCAGAGTGAAATGTTCTGTCCTGGATTTTTTCTAATCCTCTCTTTCCATTTCTCCTGCAGGATTCCATGTTTTCGTTGGCCCTGAAATGCCTTATCAGTCTGTCTACCATCATCCTTTTGGGTTTGATCATCGCCTATCACACACGTGAAGTCCAGGTAGGTGCCCTTGCCCACATCCCTTCGTGCCGGGGCCGTTCCTCTGCTCCAGGCTGAGCCCGCCCCCTGCCCCTCAGGAACTAGCTGGAGAATCTCACCAGACAGTATGCGAGATTGTGGCTCTTCTCTTTCAGTTTGGGCCCTCATGGGAGCAGAGGTGCCTCTGCTCTGGGGCTTTAGAACCATTGTGATTACCCCAGAGGCAAACATGGCTTCATGTTTTGGGGACAGTCCTGCACAGAGTCTTCATTCTGCACTGCTTTACTGTAGGACTGACTTTGCTCTTTCTATCTCTTGCTGGATCTTTTCTGAGTGTGAGCCATTGAATCTCCCAAGTGAAGCAGACCTTCCTCCTATGCCCTTGCATGCATGTGCCTGCGTGTACACACACACACAAACACAGACACTGCACCAGATAACACTAGGAGTCTGATGGTGAGTTTACCGCTTCCTGGTCTGTGCCAGGAATAGAATAGAATAGAATCTATTAATCTATTAATCTAGATAGAATAGAATCTTCTGTGGTCGAGGAGGTCTCTGTTTCTTGCTGTCCAAAAGTCACTTGGTACCCAGAGAAATATTAGCCTGGCCTCTGGGGTGTACTCCAGTTTGGCCGCTGTAAGGAGGATGGTATGACCTGGGCTGGGAAGGGCAGGCAGGAGTGAGCAGGTCGGAGGCATCTTCTCCTGACAATGGGTCTCCCGCATCACCTGGCCCTTCGGGCTGACCTGTTGTGCTGGGGCCCTGGGTGGTGGTTCTATGGTATCCAGATGTTTTTTCTCACTTGCATGCACATATGAATATAACCCTGTCCTTTGGCTGGAGGAGCACACATAGATCTCCATCTGGGCAGCAGGCGAGAAATTGACAAAGACCAGAACTCAGAGTTGGGAAAGCTGGGGCCGAGACTCGGCCATGACCTCTTCTCACAGCAGGTCTCTGGCCAGCCCTGTCACCTCTCTGGACTGGAACGTGTGAACTTTTCTTTGTCTGGAACATGGGGCTTTTTATTCCACTGTTTACGAGTTGTTGTAAGGATGAATGGGTAGTGTATGAGAGGGCTCTGTGAACTTTAAAACACTTCAAATACCGTACCTCTTGTCACCCAGCGTTTCTGGGCTGAGTGGGTGCACAGGCAGAGATGGGTGAACATCATCTGCTCCTGGGAGGGTGGTCTGCTCTCCCGTTGCGTGTCGGGGGCCACTGCAGCTGGCCCGGGCGAGGGAGCCTTGGCTGCAGGCCACCTTGGCTCCACTCTGTTGATGACCAGAGGACACTCATTGAGAAGGTGGGGACTCGTTAGTCTCCGGAGGGGTCACAGGTGCAGGGACAGAGCTTGTGCTGTGAAGGCTGAGAGTCCCAGACACCACCCAGCAGGTTCCTTTGTGGGGTCCAACCTGGACAAGGCGGGTGGGCTTTAACCCCAGGAAGAAGCCAGGAGTACAGGCAGGAGAAATGGGCAGGAATGGGAGACGGGCCCGGGAGTCACAGTCGGGACTCCCGGCCAGGTTCACCCCACCCCAAACCAGCTGTGGGACCCAGGTGTTTCCTTAGTTCCTCTGAGCCCCTGCACCCTCATCTGGAGGCATCTATACTACACCATATCACCTTGACCTGTGCAGAGGAGTCACACAGGCCAGGGAAAGAGACAGAGTAGTGAAGCTCATCTGTGAGCCAGGCTCGGGGAAGGGGGAAAGGAGCTGTCTCAGCCTCACACCCACACAGTGGGTCAACTCGTCTTGACTGCTGCTATTTCCACTCCAGGCCTTGGAACTAGGAGAGCCAGGTGTCCCTTCTCTGATTCTCTTGGGGTCCTGTCCTGCCATCCCCAGGGCTGGCAGCCTTAGCTCTGACCCCACCCAACTGCAGTTCTGATGTCAGTTCTGGCCAGGTGGTGGGGCCAGCACCTGGCTGGGCACACTATCCTTTCTCACCTCACAGCTAGTCTCTGCTTCGCCCTCATTATGGGCACCAGAGATGCTATGTTAGTTATTTGTCTTGGCCTGACACTCCAAGTTAAGAGCAACGAAGTGAAATCAGTGAAGGCATTGAATCCTGGCTTAGACGCCTGAATGCCCTTGGGCCAAGAACACCTTTATAACAACTTCTCTGGGCCTTGGTTTCCCCATGTAAAGTATGGAAGTCTTACCATCCACCTTGCTGAACTTGTAAGAGGGTGGGTCCCTTTCCTGTGACCTCTGTCCACTGCTCTCAGCTGGGCCTCATCTTACAAGCTGTGCCCACCAGATCATCACTGTCAGGACCGCCCGGTGCCAGTAAGTGGTTGGACTTCCTCTCTACCCTGCCTGCACGCTCAGCTCCCACCACCTAGTCCGTCATCCTACTGGCCTACCAACACGTGGGTTGTCACCAGAACGTGGCTCCCTCTGTGCCTCTTACCTATCCAGTGAAGTTCTTTCTTCTGGAAAGTTCTAGTGGGACCTTCTTTTGCCAGAGGGAATTTGGAATGGTTTGGACCCAGACAGCAGGGCCTTCATAAGTACTCACCTGACCATATTGTAGTTTTCTGTTCTGTGTCCTTTTCCCCAGCCTCAGGGACAATGATGTTGTGAATCTTTGTATTTCCAGGGACCCACAGCGTGTGACAGAGAGCCGGTGTCTGCAGGGGATGTTTTGAATGAAAGGGTGTTGTATTCGAGATGTCTGATTTCCAAAGTTGTTTTGACCATTACTTAGCCCTGTGGTCTTGGGCCTCAGTTTCCACATCTGTTCACTGGGGATCCTAAGCCCGCCACACCCCAATTCTGTAATTCTCTGATTAAGGTCTGGTGCCAGCCAGCTAGGGGACGTGCCTCCTGAGAGTGAGTGGAGGGAATGTAATCCCAGGCATGATTGCTTATCCAGAGGGGCTGCTTGGATAACCTCTTCTGTAGGAAGAGGCCAGCCGCTGCTCATCTGTTGGGAAGCAGGGCAGGGACAGGGTGGGTGAGGTCAGGGACTTGTGTCAACGATATGCTTGCCACTTCCTTATCCACACCAGTTGTTGGCCACTTGGCTCAATTGTAGCAGGAACCGGATGGCCGTGTTTCCACCTCCCCCCAGCCCTGCCCCAGTTGCTCACACCCGGGCCCCTGGCCCCCGCCCAGCACACACAGAAGGCCAGGAGTGCTTTCTGGAATAGGATTCCTCTTTGTTATATGCACAACTTGCGTTTTTGAGAAAGAAGAATTCTGAAACATTATTGGGAACGTCTCTACCAAGCTCTGGCTTCAAGTCCTGCAGTGAGGCTTGGAAGGTTCTCAGAGGCGATGGCGTGTACCCCTCGCTGGTGCAGGAGGCTCCCCCTCTGTGGGCCGGCCTGTCACAGAGAGTCACAGCCTCTTGGGGGAGGCTGTTCCTGACTGGGCATTGTGAGTTTTAGAAAGTCTGCCCCTCCAACTGAGAGGAAACGGGCCTCTCTGGAGCATCCACTCAGCCTGGCTCTGTTCGGGGGCAGGGAAAAGAGGCCCCGGAGTTTCCCATGAGGCAGCCCCTATCATCTGAGGATGATGTCTTGGAGCACAGGGGCTTAAAGACCCAGGGGTCTGTTCTCCTCAGGCTAATGTGTCCCAAAAAGAAATGAAAAGCCAAATACACTGGGTTTTGTGTTGTGTATCAAAACTTTGAAAACCGCACTCTCCTGTGGGGGGTCCATTTATTCCTGTGGTTTGGTGATCACCAGGACCTCCCAGATCGGCTGCCAGCCTCCTCTCCCACTATTGCACAATCACATTTTAGGGGCCATTGGCATGTCCCTGACTCGACTTGTCGTAAAGCACGGAACTCCTCCCTCCCTCCCTTTCTCTCTCTTTTTTCTTTCATTTGAAGTATAGTTGATTTACAATATTGTGTTAATTTCTGCAAAGTGATTCAGTTGTATATATATATTCTTTTTAAGATTCTTTTCCATTGTGATTTATAACAGGATATTGAATATATTTCCCTATATAGCTATACAGTAGGGCTTTATTATCTATTTTATATGTAGTGGTGTGTATCTGTTAATTCCAAACTCCTAATTTATTCCCCCTTTGATAATCATACATTTGTTTTCCATATCTGTGAGTCTGTTTTTGTTTTATAAATAAGTTCTTCTTTTTTTTACTGTGCTCAGTCATGTTCAACTCTTGGTGACCCCACTGACTATAACCTGCTAGGCTCCTCTGTCCTCTTCCTCTGGAGGAGGTTTTCCAGGCAAGAACACTGGAGTGGGTTGCCATTTCCTACTCCATGGGATCTTCCTGACCCAGGGATGGAAGCTGCGTCTCTTCATCTGCTGCATTGGCAGGCGGATTCTTTACCACCAGCCTCCCATAAGTTCATTTGTGTCATACTTTAGAGTCCACGTGTAATGATATTGTATTTTATTCGTCTTTCTCTTTCTGACTTACTTCACTTAGTGTGATAATCTCTAGGTCCATCTATGTTGCTGCAATGACATTATTTCATTCTTTTTAATGGCTAATTAGTATTCCATCATGTATATACATAATACAATATCTTCTTTATCCATTCATTTGTTAACAGACACTTAGGTTGCTTCCATGTCTTGGCTATTGAAAATAGTGCCACTATGAACATTGGGGTGCACATATCTTTTTGAATTAGTTTTCATCTTTTCTGGATAGATGCCCAGGAGTAGAATTGCTGGATCATATGGCAACTCTATTTTTAGTTTTCGAAGGAACCTCCTTTCTGTTTTTCATAGTGGCTGCACCAATTTACATTCCCACCAACAGTGTGGGAGGTTTCCCTTTTCTCCACACTGTCTCCAGCATTTATTATTTGTAGACTTTTTGATGATGGCCATTCTGACTAGTGAAACACCGAATGCTTTATCGCTCCCCTGTATCCTCCCTCTTCTTCCCTTCTTATCCATCTAGCTGTTCATTCATTCAGTGTATACCTAACGAGGGCCTACTCTGGGCAGATCCTGAGACAGGCACCCAGTTCTCTGTGCTGGAAACCTTCAAATCACTTTTGCTTCTGCAAGGAGTTGT